AAAATTAAGAACTAAACCTCTGAAATAATGAGACTCGTTTAAGAGGTTGATATCTCCCAATAAATATTATTTCATAAATACTAATTAATAATCGAACTTCTGATCACATATCAATGTTTTTTATCACTTATTATCTAATTTAATTTTTATTTATCACAATCATTTATGAACTAAATATTAATATTTTAAAATAAAATTATCAATAAATAATAATAATTTTTTATTATTATACAATATATCTATCATAAATCTAAAAAAATCATTTATTTTAAAATATGTATGTACACTAGTTTTAAATACAATTCATATATTCAAACATAGTGTATATATATATATGTGTGTGTGAAGAGGGATATGTTTACTCTAAAAGTAAGTTTACGTATACTTATTTTGTTCAATAACTCATATTCTACATCAGATTTCAACTAGGCATGGTAACGAGGCGGGGCAGGGGCGGATTTTACATTCCCCGCCTCTGCTCTCGTAGATTTAAATCGTTGCCGCCCCCGCCCTTGATATCTGTTGTGGGTAAAATTTGGGTACCCATCCTCGTCTCGGGCAGGGTTCGAGTTTTCCCGCCCTACCCTTGCCCCTACTTTTTTTTCTTTTCTTTTTCATTTAAATAAATATAAACAAAATTTTAAAAAATAAAATAAAAATAAAATAATACAATTTTTTACATATAAATATTTCTAATTTTGGTTTATATATATATAAATAATTTTTTAATTATATTATTAAGCGGGGCGGGTACGGGTACGGAGGCGAAGGCAAGGTAGGTTCGGGCGGGTACCCACGGGGGTGAGTTAGATTGTCATGCCTAATTTCAATGATCCAATTGTTGAATTTAAAGTTCTTAATTTATAGATCAAATCTGTAAATTTTTAAAAATTTTAAAAATCATTTACTACTTCGTTTCATTAATTCAAATCAATGTATAAAATGATTTTATGATTATCCATTAATTTGAATTAATGAAATGAAGTATCAAATGATTTTCAAATTTTTTAAAAATTTACAGACTTGATCTATGCATTGAGAATGTTAAATTCAACGGTTGGATCATTGAAATTTGATGCAGAACATGAGTCATTGAGTAAGTATAGATAGACTTACTCTTAAAGTAAACGAATTTCTCATTTCTCTCTATATATAATTTATTATAAATTTTAATCGACTCGTATATCAAACACAAATTCTATATTACTCAATAGTACTTTTAGGTATTTTTATTCAACCAGGTGGTTTGCAATTTTTTTTTAATTTCTTATCTAATTTGAATTTATTTATTATAATTATTTATAAATTGAATATTAATATTTAAAATAAGTTATCATTTAAAATATTATTTATATATTTAAAAATATTTATGTATACTAATTTTAAATATAATTTATATATTCAAACATAGTAAATATA